AATTAATTAATTAATTAATATTGTTAGTAATAATTAATGGATAGTAATTTCCAATTAATTAATAATGAAATTTTTATCACCTTTGTTGACATTTAGAGAAAAGAGTTACAATCAAGATTATTTAACAAACTATTACTAGTATAACTTTTTAGATTTAGCAATTTCGTCATCTAAGATTCTACTTGTATGATATGCATCTGGATGTGATTTGTGTGCTTGTTGCAAAGCGCTAGTATTATTATTACTATTATTATTATTATTATTTTTAATAATTTCTTCATGCTTATTTCTAGCAAAATCACAAAGCTCTCTACTAGTTGGTCTTTGTGATGGATCCACATTCCAACACCTCTCCATCATTTGTGCATAATCTTCAGGCATCACGGGTAGTATTGGTGGTCGTAAACCTTCACATATATCAAAAATTAAACAATAATTGTGAGCTCTATCATCAAATGGTGGATGACCTGCAAATATTTCCCACATTAACATCCCAATACTATAGATATCAGTTTCCTTGGTATTAATTTTGCTTCTAAGTAGCTCAGGTGCAATATATGATACAATTCCATAGACTTTATCTGATGACTTTTCATTAACTAGTCCACATAGTCCCAAATCTGTAATATAACAACCACCTCCTGCCATAAGTATATTACCACTATGTAAATTACAATGTATTAAATCTTTTTCATGTATATCACCTAATGCATGACATAAATAATAAAAGATTGTGATTCTGTTTTTTAATGTTAAATTTAAATGATTTTTTTGTAAATAACCTCTTAAATTTCCCTCTGATAAATAATTTAAAACAACTGCATAATTTCCATTATCTGGGAATTTAGTTATACCATAACACTGAACAATTGATGGTGATTTAATTTTACAATAATTCATTGCCTGTAATTAAATATAAAACCAATTAGTATTATATAATATAGTATTGTTTATTTTTGTTTTAAATGACAGCTACCAACCTCATCAAGAAAACCTTTTCCTGAATTATTTGAATCATTTAAACTTTTTAATACCACATTTTGCCTTCCAAGATAACTAAATTCTTTTTTATTTTTGTTGTAATCATTTATTTGTCCTCTTGTCCATGTAGCAGTATAAATTGAACTAAATTCACCTTCAGTTAACTTTGTTACATCATCAAATTGCTCAAAAGGTATCCATTCTAAAATATAGTCTGGCAAAGATGATTTCATTTGACATTGTTGAATAAAACCATCAATTATGTTATTTCCGGATGTCCAAGTGGTGAAAAGACTCTGTAATTGTAAACTAATGCAACCTTCACAGAATCTATCAGAGTAACTTGTCAATTTACACTTGCTACATTCTTTTGGTTTTCTCAATTTATCTCTTGCATTTCTTAATTCAATATCATAATTAATCTTTTCTTTACAAAATTCCTTTTCATTTTCAGAAAGCTCCTTGTTTATTTTGACTAATGAAAAATAATAATATTTTCTACTTTCTTCATCAGAATTAACATTGGCATCATTAATTATTTCACTACAAATTTTCAATACAAATTTCCTTCTTTCTGGTGACAACAATGATAATAATTTAGCATGTGACATTATATAAAATATAAAATTCAACTTGGTATTTTTGTGGAGGTTTTTTGAGAATAACGGTTACATTATTTCCCCTTTTAACATAAGAAAGGGTTTTCTGTGTTACGATTCCTTTCTAGTAATAATTTTTTTGTTTAACCCAAATTTGAAATTTAGTTGCACAAGAGATATTCTGTTGTAAAACTTGAAATGGTAGATTCAGTGCAGTTACGGTTAGTGTTGGTTTCCAAAATTATAGAGTTTCGCAACCGTGCGAAAGTCAAAAGGTTTCGCCACAAGTCGAAACTAGTTTTGATTTTTGACTATTGACTTTTGATTTAGTTTTGACATATAACTTTTAATTTTAGTTTTGACTTTCGCCTCTTCAAAATAGTTTTGGCAACCAACACTAGTCACGGTAATGAATCACGAATCTCCTAAGCATTTTGTTGCTCAAATTTAGTAAACTGAATTGTTGGGAAGCATGAGATCAATATCAAAGGGTAATGGGTTGTTTTTTCTTTTCCCAAAATGATAAATGTTTGTGTTTATTTTTACATTGTTGTATCATGTGAGTTCCCATTGCTATCCATTTGGCAACTGAAAATTTATCTATTTTTGTTCAAAACGTTAGGGTTGAGCGAAGCAGATACTTGACTGAAAGGAAATCGTGTTTCACTTTAGATGTTTTTGCGCGATGTTTACCGTTAGGTTTTCGTCTTGCTCTGACGTTCAAAATGACCAAAAACTTATGGCCTTGCCTTAGAGCCTTTACCTTGGATCATCACACAACGTTTTAGTGTTAGTATATTTTCGGGTCAACACTTTTTTACATTTTATTTGTTGTTGTTATTATCTGTAAAGACAATTTGATTTTATGAAATAGTTTTAATTATAATCATGTATTTTTCCGCAAAAATATCCACAAGTTCATCGCCCATAATATTATCTGGAGAATTTGCAGCAGATGCGTATTTTTTTTATTTTTTATTTTAGTTTTCAGAAACTTTATACTAATAGCACCATTAACATTAACATTGGATATTTGCAATTTTGCAACTCATGAAAATATTATAATATTGATTCTCCAATAAAAAAATTTTTTGCATGATATCATAAAAACGAAATTTACGATATCATTTTGTGATGTCATCATTTTTTATATATAAAAAATTAGTTATTTTTTACTAAAGAAAATTAGTCAAACCGAAAATCAAAAATAATCATATAAATATTATAAACAAAAAAAAAAAATTTTTTTACATGTCAATATAAATATATAGTTATACGAAAAAGTTATTCAATATAAACAAAAAAAAATATCAATACAAACAAAAAAAACATTTTTTACATATCAATATATAAATATATAAAAAGTTATATGAAAATGCCAGGTCAACTTACAACTATCTTACTAATTGAAAACTGTGTTCAGAACTTTACAACAAAATTTAAAATAACTACAGGAAATGCAACTAACAAATAAATAAACAACAAAGTCTCTCAGTGAATTTAATGTTGAAAAATTCAATAAAGAATTGGTTAAATTGGTAATGTATGATTATGTTTCCTGCAAAAGTTAATTCATTTAATCAATAATAATTATTCTTTAAACATTCAGGGTGAGTTGTTGGAGAAATGAACAGGGTGTCAAAGTGCTTCTATTTTTTAAGGAACTTGGCAAAAAAATTGATTCGGAAAGATTTGCATATGATTTTCCACCCATGTCATTCGTACTGGACCTACATGATCCAAATGGTAAACTTTATAAAATTCATCAGGAACACTTTGGGTCTGATCTAGAGATAATAGAGAAATTTGAAGAAATCTTCCATGAAAATAACAATTGAGTGAATACATTATCAACAGTGATTTTTTGATCCATATCCCTGATAATTGGATAAATGTTATTTTGAAATTGCTGGAAAATAGTAGAAAACTTGTAGGTTAATTCAATAATATTTTGTGTCTTTTATTGGAATCAATGCTTACTGCATCATTCTATTTATTAGGCAAATAAACAAAAATCAGAAACTGCAAAATAAAGAAAACTATGGTCCATCTGTTGATGAAGGAATGTGGACCAAATTGACAATTGATGCCTTTATTTATTCAATGTTGAAGTTTTTTGATAGAAACTTAGTTGTTTGTTGGTATGTTCAAGTTTTTTAAAAAATTATGATTCTCTCCTTATTTAATAAATAGTATGATATTCATATAGGGGTGATAAAATTTGCAGATCAATTTTTGTGCAAAGGTTGTTTTAAAATTGTGCATGTATGCACAACAAATTGTAAGTGGTTTGATTTTTTGATTTTTTTTGTGCATTATATATAGAAAAATGGAATAGTGCAAAAATTTCTCATTGAATTTGTGCACTATATTTGAAATTTTTGTAGAGAGCCTGCACAAAATTTTTGTCTCATTGTGCACAGTTTAAGGGGGTTGAGCAACTGCGCACACTGTGCACATGAATTTTATACACTGTATAGGGGTGATAGTGCAAACCAAACAACAAAAGGAGCTGATGTAGCCCTTGGTTATGATACTGAGGTGATAAAATCTTATACTAAAAATAGCACCAAAACACCAACATTCAATTATGGAAAAATGCCAGACATCTCAGTATATTGGAGCAATGAACATTTCCATACAACTGTTTGTTTGATGGAAGCCAGTTCTGGGCCTTTTGCAGCTCCTGATATGTTAAAAAAGGAAGGAGATTGGTGAAAACTAATAAGAAGTATTAAAGGATCTTCAGAAAGATTATGGAGTGACTTTATACAAAAATCTAATAAATATATTCACGGATACCATGAGGAAGTCACACAGGGTCACACACTATTAAAATCAAGTGTTTTTAAGGGATTTTTTACTGATTTAATAGTGTGTAACCCCTTTAATGGTATTCATGGTATCCATGAATACAACCCTACCAGTTGCATGAAATAAAAAACATGTTAAAACCTTTAATACATTTACATGGTATGAATTTTTACTAATAATTTATAAAAAATCAAGGATTTATTTACTAATTAATTTATTATTTATATTAGATACAAACATTTGCATTTTGTACTATGATGAATCATTTTTCCCAACAAAGAATAAGAATATATTGGGAAATGCAAATCCCATATAACACATTGGAATTTCATCAGATAAAAGAATTTATTTGCCTGATTCTTGGAGTTTATAAAGTAATCCAAAAAAAGCAATAAGTCCTTTAAACCATTGATGAAATCAATCAATGAAAATAAGACAAATGGAAAAAGGCTTGAACCAATTTCATCACTGTATTCCAACTATCCTTCTAGGAGGTTGTCATTTAAAAGCCTAAGTCTGAAAAAGGTACACATGTAATAAATGTAAAACTAAGCCTTATTTATTATACTTATTAACCTTTATGTTAACAGTATATTTTTCACATTTTATAGGTTAATTGCTGAAATTTTAGCTAGGGATGATAATAATAAATTTATTTTATTATGATTTATTTATTTAGGATTTTATTATTATTAATTACCCTTTTTTTTTCTTAATTATGATTTTTAATTTTTATGATATTATGATTTTTATTTAAGAATTTTTTTTACAATAAGATTTTTTATTAAGATTTTTTTTATAAAAACACTTGATTTTAATGGTGTGACCTCCTTATGGTATCTGTAAATGCTAGGTATTTTCACACTCATATATAATTAATAAATAATTTTACATTATCTTTGTTTCTATTACTTTGACTCCTTTCTACAATTACCTTTACAACATCCATATTATAATATTCAATTTCCTAACATTTGCAGCATTGTGGACATTTGAATTTTGCACCAATTTTTTATGCCATGTAATGTAATTTTTAAAGTAAAAAAACTATGCACTCAATTAAAATGGATATATGTGAGATGTTCTTTAATGTTTTTTTAACTTAATTCCAGCTGCATCCATTAGCATCCGCAATTTTGACATACTTTACTTAGTACTAACATTTCCAATATGGTATTATGCAGCAGATGTGTAGTTTGCAATGAAATTAGAGTAAACTCATAAAAAAATTACAGAATCAAGTAAAAATAAAGCAGAAGCTGGGGGATATAATAATTTAAGTGTTAATGATTTAATTTGTAATATATGTTATAATAGATGT